GGCTGGCCAGCAGGCGGAGGCAACACCCGGAGCTGGGATCCCGGGCCGGATCGCAATGAAAGGGTGCTGGCCGGGAGCTCCCCGCCCTTCTCCCCCCACCCGGGCCGCTCCCGGCCGCCCCGGGCTTGGCGTGCCTCACGGAAAGAGGGGGAAGGGAAGCGCAGCGGGTCCGCAGCTGCCGCTGTAGAGACGCTCACAGGCTGGCCGGGCCGTGCAGCCTGCCCACCCCGGTTTACGAAACAGCCGTCGTGGAAAGTAGGAAGTTTCCACCTTCTACTGGGGCCGCGTTCCCTCGGAGGTGGGCAGGGTGTGGGGCAGCCTGAGGGACGCTGCGAGGAACCCCGGTGAAGGGCCGTGACAGCATCCTTTTGGGCTCCCTACCCAACAATCCTGCCCGAGGCTCCCTATTCTTTAGGGAAAACTGCACATCTGTGCTCCCCCCCGACACACACACACTCACACTCACTCACTGCCCTCCCCGTTCTGATTTTATTTTTGATCTTTCCCTCCCGATACAAGAACGCAACATGCCACTGAATGGACTTCTAGCCTCCCGGTCCTAAGGACGAGGATGGGGTGCCGAGTCTCACCGAGCCACGGAAGGGGTGGGTGGAACTGGTCGGGGTGAAGGGGGAGAGGGTGTGAGAGTGGACGGAAGGAGGGGCACTCCCTCTACAGAAACCCGAAGGAGTCGAAAGCCGAGGCAGGGAGAGAAAGAGGACGCCGCCGGGGTGGACAACTCCGACTCAGAGACGGAGCTCCTCCGCGCGCGCGATCCAGCTCCCGGTTTTTCCTCAGCTCGGTCCCAGGGCTTCTGGGGTCCCCTTCCCCCAGGTTCCCCAGCTTTCCCGAGCCCCGCGGGTCTCTGCCTCCGATCTGGGCGCTCGTCTCTTCGCTCCACACCTCGATCTAGGCAGCGGGAAGCCCACCCGAGTTCTTGGAAGGAGCCGGAGAAGAACGGGGCGGAGAGGGGGCGCGCGAGAAAAGGCCGCCGAGCCCGCGCTGCCGCGCTGACCACTCTCCCTGAGGTCGGGCTGGGGGCCGAGGTCCTCCGAGGTCCGGCCGCCGCTCGGCTCAGACCCGGCTCCCCCGGGGTAAACACGCGAGCCCTTAGCTCGACCCAGCCGGGACCCTTCCCCCATCCCCGCCTCTCCCCAGCCTCCTTAAACCACGACCCCCACCACCGCCGGCGCTTCCCCGGCTCGCGAGCGCTGTTTACCGAGTCTCGGCGGCAGACCCGGCCAGACCCAGCCGAGGAGAAGGCGAAAAGAAGGTAGCGGTTCCCCCAGCAGCGTCCCTGGCGAAGAAGTAAAAAGCCTTGGCTTTGGAGCTTGGAGAGAAGTTAACTGCGAAGCTGGGGTCCTGCTGTCTTATCCCTGCGGGGATGAGGCTCACCGAGCACGTTGCAGGCATCGTATGTTTTTGATGCCATGACCGTGTCGGAGAAGAACGTTATATGATAAAATATCATCTCATATCCTAGAGACCATTAAAGTGTCAAAGTTTAATGCCAAGCCTTTTAGCTCGAAGGCAGCTCGGTTCTTCCTCTGACGTGCAGCTCTGCTCTAGAACGCGCAGAAAACAAGGGGATCATTTTTATTTTTTGCGGGCCGAGTGTCCTTCCTCCCCCTTTCCTCCTCCAACCCCCACTCCAACCCCCGCCCCGGAACCCGGTAAAGTTAAAGCAAGAATTTGTGCTTTCTTTTTATTTATTGTCTGGCTTCACTTCATTAATGGCATAAAATGCATTATTACAATACATTAGCATATTAATAAGGGGAAGGAGAGACTTGAAATTTACAAGAAAAAAAGAAATAATTGAATTGCACCAGAAACTAAAAGATAAACATGTGTGTGTGTGGGGGGGGGGAAATCTCCATTATAGTTACCCAAGTGTAGTACATAATCTAGATCTTGGAAAGAAAAAAATATGACCATCATGGGGGAGGGAGCCATATGCATTGAAGTACATTAGGAACATAATTCATTATCAGGGGATTTCACAAAACTTACTTTCATTGATCAATAAGCACCTTGAATGTAGAAATGCTTTTCTCTATCAATTCAAGGTTGCAATGTTGAAGTCAGTGGCATAACTAATGCTCTAAATCTAAGAATTCTGTTGGAGTGAAATATTCCACAATCAGAATCTTTTGGTAAGTTCATATCTGTCAAGCCCCACCCAAACCCTATTAAAAATTCCTTTGGAAAATTGTGAAGCTTCTAAACTTCCCAGTCCAAGCAACTAAGATTGGATGTGATTGCCTAGAAATTACTGCCCTTTCACACAAACCAAGATATAAATATCTTAAAAGAATTTTGGCTATGGCATAACATAGTATGAGGAATGCAGAATAAAAGATGTAAGGTGATATCTCTGTTGTTTCTAAAGGTTTTGCTAAGAATTGAGAAATTTAAACAAATATTGCATCCTTTAAATCAATCATTATTTATTTCTGTCTTCACAGTTATCCTACCAGTCCCAGAAGAGATTCTGAAAGGTCTCTTTTTCTTAGGGTCAAGGAGACCTAATCCTAAGAAACCCGAGGTCTTAACAAACAGCCACTAGGGGGCCCTAAAGTCATCTCTAAGAGGAAGCAAGAGAATTTCTCCTTCCTCCCTC